GAGGAGATGTGTGAGGGAGGAGGGGATGTGTGAGGGAGGAAGGGGGGTGTGAGGGAGGAGGGCAGGTGGGAATGAATGTGAGGCTTTGTATTTGTGTCTGGATTGTCGCGGTATTAAGATTGAGTACTGAGTTGTCGGTATCGAGTTGGGAGGGGGGCGCAATCCACGGAAGGGAGAGAAATTTTGTAAGAGTGGGGACCGGGGAAGGATGTTGTATGACGGGAAGAGTAGGGCTTTCAATGAGGAGGAGAGGTGCGTTCGGGAAAGCCGAGTCAGAGGAAAGTTTTGGGGCCGGCGGCGGCGGTGGCCGCGGGTGCTTAATTCAAGTTGGAGGGAAATGTCGGTGTAGGGACGTGCCCGGGAGCACTGGGGGGAAGGGAGATGGGGGGTAGTATTAGAGGATCAGGGCAGGAGAGATGAATGGAAGGATGTGAGGGTAAGAGCTGTCATTGGTATCGATCTCAGGTAGCCGTTTGGGGTGGTGAGAGTGGGAGAAAGAGGGGAGGAAGGGGGGGGGGGGGGGGGGGAGGAAGGGAGATGAAGGCTGGAGGGGGTAGAATGGCCAGCTGAGGGGGGCGAATGGTGGTATGAACGTGGTATTGGTCTCTTTGTCTTTGCAGGGATCAGTGCAACTAGGATAGTGGACTGGGCAATTCTTATAGGGGATTGGTTAATGAAGAGCTATTGAGGGAGATGGTGTGAATCAGATAGAGGTTGGGACGGGCAAGTAGGATGGGATACTACCATCTTCCCCGAGACATTTCCCATAGGCGTTGTATTCGAGTTTGGCAGGGGGGTTGAAACAGGAGGTAGATTGGTATCTTAGCTGACGATCGGGTTTAGTGGTGGTGAGTTGTGGCGTGTCAGTGGCTAGAAAGGCTTGCCGCAGCCGACGATGACACTTCTGAGTCCTGCACTGGGAGATAGATGGGGAAGCGCTCCAGCGCAATACGCCTCAAGGTGCCGAGTTCGAGTTCTCCGTGAAAACGCAAATGGCTTATTCTCCCCGTTTCTGCGTTAAGAGTACCGCTGTGGCTCCTGATTGTCAATCAAGGACTCTATTCTCTTGGTTGCGCCCATGTCCGAGACTTTGTCGTCTTGCACTTTTCAACCTAAGCTTATGAGACTGTCCTCCTGATGTGTCTAGACAAAGCGTGCACTAGGCGTTGTAGGCGGGCATATCGGCACAACCTTCGTCGCCTGATGGCTTTGGATTTGGGGTATCATGTGCAGGGTGGAATTCTAGATCACGATGAAGGGGCGATCATGGGCTGGATGGGGGGTGGCTATGTCCAAAGAACTGAGTTTGACAGATGGTGGGCTGCCTTGGGCCTCGGCATGAACGCGCGAGCTCAACAGAGCGTGCTGGCGAGAGTTCACCGCCGCTGCTGGGGTTGCATAGCGATTCACAATTACCAGAGGCGCGGGCACGACTCCTTTCAGGAAAACTAAATAAACATATAATGTGCTAAATGAAATTAAGGTATACGGCTAGTAGTCGGCTACTCTACGCTCCATATACCCCTGTGGAGCTCAAAGCTTTAACCGTTAAACCCCGTTAAACCCCGTTAAACCCCGTTAAACTCCGTTAAACCCCGTTAAACCCCATTTCATCCTCCCCAAACCCGAATCTGGAAAACAAAATGGATCCCGGATGTGGCCTAATCTTGATGGGTGCAGAAAGACCCCACTGGCGACAACCCCGCCCCCCCCCCCAACCCGCCCCCCCCTCCAAAAAAAAATAAAAAATAAAAAAAATCAGGTCTTTTGAGTTGCCTGAGGTGACCCCATAGTGGGGTGCCTGTCCGGGTGACTTGCCTAGATGCCGGCCGGGCATCACAGGTAACCTATGTCTCAACTTCTTCAAGTAAATAAATTTTGAGTCTTTCGAGGTAATTTGATTAAACCACCCACCACTACCTTTCAGGCGGGAGAGCTAAGTCGTTAATATAACCTATACCGCATTCTTCAAAGCCTGGTGGGGGCTGCGCGCCGCCGGACCCAAAACGCTGGCGGCGCCAGGGAAAACAAAACGAAAAAGGCCGCACACTGACGCTTTGGCCAAAGCTTCGCGCAGTTCTGCTCTGCCTCGGCAAAAAGAGGCTCGGAGGTAATGGTGGTGGTGGTTTAAAACAAGGGATTTTATATATATATATATATATATATATATACGGTTTACCGGGCAGTTCTGTTTGTGACGATATATACTACGACTTCGCTAGCTTCCTGCTACGTTTTTTTCCAGTCAGGTCGAGCCGCAGTGGTCGGGGTCGTTACTAGGCGGCCATGCTGTGCCTCTAGTGCCAGCGGCGTGTCTGGAGTGTATTTTTTGGCTGTGACAGACCTTTCTTT